TTGTTTCGTTCACTTCTCTTTTTGACCTTCACTATTGGAATTTCACTGTACCCTGCAATTACATCTGCGACCCTGTGCATGTGACTAGTAAACTGATCTAATCTCATCTAAAAAGTGGAGCTCAAACTGCATCCCTCGATTCTGGTTTCCCATTTCTTAAAGAAACAACAGAAAGGTCTGAAAGGGAAAGCGCAACAAAGCCACTGGAAGCGGAGACAGAACAAGTCACTCCCACTTCAACATCAGAAGGTAATGAAGTAGAAAGAATAAGACATCAAGATCAAAATATTTCTGGTAATTATTTCTACAACTGAAAAGGCAATTGCAATGTCTAGTGAATCCATTCTTGAGGATAATGAGACAGGTTTTTCACTGTATCTGAAGGGTCCCAGGAAGATGTTGTTACTGGCGCAGAAAGCATGTATAATGAAGGAGACTGGTACACTCAAAGTATACTGTCTGAGAGGGACACAATGTACACAGAAGAGGGTGGATATGAATGTTTTAAGGACAGCACAACAGAACCACTGGTCACTAAGATGGTTGAAACCACTACAGGTACAGCAATATTAGAGGCAACTGAAATCAGACAAAAAGAGGATGAGGACAAACAGAATTACATGACAAGAGAAATCAAGGTTTCAGAAACTCCACCAATAGAAGAAATTGCAGAGGAGGTAGAGTATCCTGCCTTGAACACAGAGTCAACGAATCCCTCAAAGGAAGATGTTGGGTAACACTATATTTGGATAGATGTTCTACAGACTTACAGACTATCAGTAACATTTAATCTAGCCCTAACCCTAATCCTAACCCAAAACTTAACCCTTACCCTAGCCCTAACATTAACCCTAATCCTTATTATAAACCTAACCTTACCCGAATTTTAACATTAGCAAAGCAGTTGCTTATCAACAGATAGTTTGTTGATAGTATGACCATCTGTAGAGCATCTACAGATGGACTATCCGGACTATCCAAATAAAGTGTGACCAGACGTCTGAGGATGAGAAGGATCATATTGAACACCGTAGATATACAAAACATTATGAACACCTTTCTTTCCATGACATAGACTGACCAGGTGAATCTAGGTGAACGCTATGATCCCTTATTGATGTCACTTGTTGTTAAAACCACTTCAATCAGTGTAGATGAAGGGGAGAGGTTAAAGAAGGATTCTTAAGCCTTGAGACATGGATTGTGTATGTGAGCCATTCAGAGGGTGAATGGGCAAGACAAAATATTTAAGATCCTTTGAACTGGGTATGGTAGTAGGTGCCGGGCACACCATTTTGTGTCAAGAACTGCAATGCTGCTGGGTTTTTCACGCTCAACAGTTTCCCGTGTTTATCAAGAATGATCCATATCAAGAATATGCAACTCAATATCAGAAAGGTGTTCTTAATATTTTGTACACTCAGTGTAGACTAATCTTAGCTGCCTCCATGTGTGGGGATTGATTCATTGTACAGGTTTAAAGAGATATTCAGAGAGGATTCTTGTTCATAATGATTATAATGTTACAGATTCTCCTATTCTCCAAGCTCCTGGAAATGCTATTACTGGCTAAGCCGTCTGGAGATCGTAAAGATGAAAAACATTCAAAGACAATGATAAACCAATGAGTATCTTACCAGAGAATACAGATGAAATTGGTAATTCACATAAAGATAAAGGTAGAGACCAACAGGTGGAAGATTTAACTCATGAAGAAGAAATTACCGAACCTAATCATAGTCACAGTTAATTACCGCTCATTACTAACCTACGTGAGTAGAATAACGCCTTTAAAAGTGTAGAAGAACAGTCACTTGTATTATTTTGGTGGGAAGATGAGACAAGATGGGGATTCCAAGCAACAAAGGCAGATTACAAGTATAAAATAATCTGAAGAAAACCCACCCCTTCTCCCAACATCAAAAACTGACAAATTGGAAAAGATTTTAAACAACCATCCACAAACACAGGACATAATCCCTTTTGAACGTAAGAAAAGAGTTGTCTCCATGTGTAACGGACTCTGGAGGGTCTAGAGATGTGGCTTGCCCCAGTTCCACAGCTTTGGTTTTGCTCTGTGAGTAGGATGTGCTCGCCTGTTGCTCAGTTCCTGTTGCCACTGATACATGTGTAGGGTCATTCCCAGTAGCTACAGACACATGGGTAGGATCATTCCCTGTAGGAACCTGTGTGCCACTGCCACCTGCTGGACTGTTCTGAGAAGACACGTCGCTGTTCTGAGAAGACACGTCGCTGTTCTGAGAAGACACGTCGCTGTTCTGAGAAGACACGTCGCTGTTCTGAGAAGACACGCCACTGTTCTGAAAAGACACATCACTGTTCTGAGAAGACACGTCGCTGTTCTGAGAAGACACGTCGCTGTTCTGAGAAGACACGTCGCTGTTCTGAGAAGACACGTCGCTGTTCTGAGAAGACACGTCACTGTTCTGAGAAGACACGTCGCTGTTCTGAGAAGACACGTCACTGTTCTGAGAAGACACGTCACTGTTCTGAGAAGACACGTCACTGTTCTGAAAAGACACATCACTGTTCTAAGACACGTCACTGTTCTGAGAAGACACATCACTGTTCTGAGAAGACACATCACTGTTCTGAGAAGACATCACTCTGCGTATTTCTGTCTTCTCTCTTGCCTCTGCGTTGGCGGTTCCTGAAGCTCACCAGTCTCCTGGCATTGCCCAATGTAATGCCAGTTAGCTGGATGAGCTGCCTGGCGGTGCAGCGGTTGAGGTCAAATGCAGTGTTCTTTGCCATCCTCACACTGAGTGCAGGTGCAGCAAAGACCCTTCCTCTTTGACTCCAGGCCTACATCTACTGTTGAGGAGTGGTGGTCTTACCGGCAGATTGGTATTTGTTACATTTCAGTAGTGGACGATCCAGCCTGATCTATGGAGGAGGAGCTGGGACTATTGAAGATGACGAGGTGCCCGATGAAGAGCTCCGGGGCCTGTCTGTCAGATGTCTCTACCTCCCTGCCTGGCTGAACAATCTATGCTCCCTCCTCTCAAGATACTACCCTTCTGAACTGCTTATCATCTAAAGCTGTGGAAGACCATCACCCAAGAACTGCCAGATCTTCCTACATTTGTTTTGTGATTTTTTTTTATTTTTATTTTTTTTAAGCAACAGATTCAACATGTAATGAAAAGAGCTAGCTATATAAAATAAATATATTATTATTATTCTGACTTCTGAATTTATTGCATCAGAATAACCTTTTGGAATAACATAATGTCAACAGAACAATCCATGTTGTTTTATCTCTATGTCAAAAAGCATACTCTTGTGAGTGATATCCATGTGCAACATTTTAGTACATTAGAGTGATATTTGGTGCTAGCTAAACATATTTAGAAAAGGGCACAACATTTTAATTTTAATATACCAAAAATTACCATCAAAACTTGATCCCCCAAAAAACTATATTTAATTGTGAAGAACATCGACATACAATAATAAATATTGACATACATAATGTGTGAAATGTTATATTAAAAAGGACACTGGCAAGGCAACTGCACTTTGGATCCAATTCAAGGAAATATTAACAAGATCTGTAAACTGTAACAGAGGAGATATGACAAGAAGAAAATACTGAAATGTTAGTGAAACTGTCCTGAAGGGCAATCTGTGAAAACAAGAACATAACTAACAATGTAGAGAGAAGACTATCTTTTGCAATCATGAACAAAGTCTTGGGCGACCAACCAAACTCATTCCATCAATGTTAAAAAAGGCCATGATAAATACTACATCACTAAATACAGTGTACAGGACTACAGGCTGGGAATAGAAGCTCATCATTAGACAGCAGAAGACTAAATTATTTCCATAGATAGCGTCACCTAGTGGAAACTACCTGCTCTGAACTCGTGACCTGATCAACATTGCCCATTTACAAATAACAAACTGTCAATGCCATTTTAAAACACTTGGTTACACTGAAACATCATTCAAATAAATCACATACATTATTTGCTTAAGGAGTAACTGGAACTTTCGCATTATTATCAGTGTCAAGACAGAACTTTGTAGCAATATGGTGGACAGTCACACCAGTGCCAAGCATATAGGAGAAACCAAGGCAGCATTTCATTTTATTACAAAGTCAAATTGAGATAAAAGTATAGTTTGTACACAATGTTCATCATCAATACAAATAAACAATTTTGCTCTACAAGACCAAAATACATATTCTTTTAATCTCATAATTACCTGTCTTTTTTGATCATGTGTAAATATACATTTGTTTTACATTTATTGCCGACTCATCAATAGAAACCACTGGGAGTGCATCCCAAATGCCACCCTATTTCCTATATAGTGCAACGCTTTTGAACAGAGCCCTGGTCAAAAGTAATGCACTATAAAGGGAATAGGGTTCCATTTGGGAAGCAAGCTTGGTGTTTAAAACAGCCCCTGTGTTTAAAATACATCCAGGGCAGTCCATGCCTTGATCAGTGCATTCCATAATGGCCTGATCACTATGCACTACACCCGCGTAGACATCATCCGGTGTATATTATCCTGTTCCCCTACAGCAGTGGTTCCCAGCTCCAGTCCTCCAGTAGTAGTCCGGGGCAAACTCACCTGATTCAACTCATTGAGGGCTTGATGATTAGTTGACAAGTTGAATCAGGTGTGCTTGTCCAGGACTATAACAGAAACGTGTGCCTTTCGGGGTACTGGAGGACTGAAGTTGTGAAACACTGCCCTACAGTGTATATTGACTACTCTATAAACATCCACCACCAGCACTACAGTCACTAGCCAGTGCATAGCCTACCAATTCACTGTGTGAAACTGTACATAGGGAATGACTTAACAGCCAGCAAATAGGCCTGTCACAGCAAGTACCTGGGATCATTTAACGGCACAGATACGGCTCAGTTATGACTCATATTGTACATCTCGTCCAAGAACTTTAGGTATTTTCCCCAGAACTCTGTAGAAGCAGGGACATACTTTTACTTTTACTTTTCTGCATATTCATAATAACTATTTTCAATGGCTTTAGAAATAATATTTTCTGCTGATAACCTTTGGTCAAAATAAAGTAATGCTTTGATTAGGTCATTAATGTCAGCTTCCATGCCCACCTTTTCCAACCATACTTTCAACAGTTCATAGACTCGATCTTCAGAATGAAGGTGTGCAGTGCTTTTTATAGCATTGTCACTGAGTCCAATGTGCCTGAAGAATCTGTTATGGTAGTTAACGTCCAGCTCTTCAAAAAGTTCAAAACTTTTCTTCAAGGACTCGTCACCTGAAAACAAAAAGGCATGTCAAGACCATGACATCAAAGCCCACCATTCAATACTGTATTGTAATCTTAGGCTACATATTATTTTATGTTAACTAGTCTAAAACCATCAAATATAGAGGGTTACTCTCACCATTCAAAGGAGACAGTTTTATGAGGACATCTTCCTAAGAAATGACAAATAAAGAAACAATGTCAGTTATAAGTCAGGCTCCTTAATGAGGCCCGTGCACTAGCTCTGAAGTTGACTCTTGGAGGGTCATGCAGGAGGGTAGGGGAAGGACCTCTACAACAGCTCTGGGCTTCTTGTCTCTGCCTTACTCCGTCCCTCCCTCGACCCTGCATGTGCATCTATAAATCACATTTACAATGCCTTCAGAAAGTCTTCACACCCCTTGACTTTTTCCACATTTTGTTGTGTTACAGCCTGATTAAATTGAGTTTTTTTTGTCCCTGGCCTACACAATACCCCATAATGTCAAAGTGGAATTATGTTTTAAAACAATTTTTGTACAAATTCACTAAAAATGAAAAGCTGAAATGTATTGAGTCAATAAGTATTCAACCCCTTTGTTATGGCAAGCCTAAATAAGTTCAGGAGTAAAAAAGTGCTTAACAACTCACATAATAAGTTGCATGGACTCACTCTGTGTGCAATAATAGTGTTTAACATGATTTTTGAATGACTGACTACCATCTCTGTACCCCATACAATTATCTGTAAGGTCCCTCAGTCGAGCAGGGAATTTCAAACACAATTTCAACCACAAAGACCAGGGAGGTTTTCCATCATCTTGCAAAGAAGGCCACCGATTGGTAGATGGGTAAAAAAAGAAAAGGACAAAAAGCAAACATTGATTATCCCTTTGAGCATAGTGGAGTTATTAATTACACTTTGGATGGTGTATCAATACACAGAGTCACTACAAAGACACAGGCGTCCTTCCTAACTCAGTTACCGGAGAGGAAGGAAAGCGCTCAGGGATTTCACCACGAGGCCAACAGTGACTTTAAAACAGTTACAGTTTAATGGCTGTGATCGGCGAAAACTGAGGATGGATCAACAACATTGTAGCTACTCCACAATACTAACCTAATTGACAGTGAAAAGAGGGAAACATGTACAGAATATAAATATTCCAAAACATGCATCCTGTTTGCAACAAGGCACTAAAGTAATACTGCAGAAAATGTGGCAAAGCAATTAACTTTTTTTTCTGAATAAAAAGTGTTATGTTTGGGGCAAATCAAATACAACACATTACTGAGTACCACTCTCCATATTTTCAAGCATAGTGGTGGCTGCCTCATGTTATGGGTATGCTTGTAATCGTTAAGGACTGGGGAGATAAAAAAGATATGGAGCTAAGCACAGGCAAAATCCTAGAGGAAAACCTGGTTCAGTCTGCTTTTCACCAGACACTGTGAGATGAATTCACCTTTCAGCAGGACAATAACCTAAAACACAAGGCCAAATCTACACTGGAGTTGCTTACCAAGAACACAGTGAATGTTCCTGAGTGGCTGAGTTACAGTTTTGAATTTTGAAATTCTCTGGTAAGACCTGAAAATGGTTGTCTAGCAATGATCAACAACTAATTTGACAGAGCTTGAAGAATTCTGAAAATAATAATGTCCAAATATTGCAAAGTCCAGGTGTGGAAAGCTCTTACAGACTTACCAAGAAAGACTTACAGCTGTAATCGCTGCCAAAGGTGCTTCTACAAAGTATTGACTCAGGGGTGTCTCATGTAAATGAGATATTTCTGTATTTCCTTTTCAATAAATTGGCAAACATTTCTAAAAACATGTTTTCACTTTGTCATTATGGGGTATTGTGTGTAGATGGGTGAGAGAGAAAAAATGATTTAATCAATTTAGAATTCAGGCTGTAACACAACAAACTGTGGAATAAGTCAAAGGGTCTGAAGGCACTGTATGTGCTTGGGCTTGGCCACTAGCAATAGTTCAGCAAATCTACAAAAACAAGTGTAAAAATGCACACTAGAAAAGACAGGTGACCGACCTAGTAAGTCTTTGTCAAGATGGCGCAAAGGGAGTAGCACTACTTCAAAATGTGACATGGTGGCTAAGCGTCCATTCGACCGTAAGAGTAATTATTAATTGTGTGTACTAATGCTATCATACATCAGACAACTGTGGCTTTCAACAAACAGTAAGTAAATGGAGCAGAGAATAGAAAGATGAGCAGAAAGTAAGACCAGATCCAGAATAAGATGACTGCTAAAGAAACTATAAGGATTGAGTTAGAAAAGAGCTTGGGGGAAGACAAGGGAAGACAGGGGAAGGTAAGTTAGCATTAGAATGCCCTGAGCTGCTGCTCTCACCCTAGCCACAGTGCCGGGCTGCCTCTTGGCCGAAGGGCTGGGAAGCGGGGAGGATCTGGGGAGGGGGGTTGAGGGTAGTGCAGACAGACTGGCCTGGGAGGAGTTGGTGGTGTTGGGGAGGCTGTCGCCCAGTCCATTGTCCTCATCCTCAGTGGCTGAGGAGGCTTTGGCACCCACCGCCTGGGTCTGCTCCAGCAAGGGGTGTAGCTGTGTGTCATCCAGCACAGCATTCTGGTTGTTCTGTCTCTCCTCAATTGACCTGTTGTTTTGATCATCCTGCAAAATATGAAAAATTACATGTTGTCTAATGAGGCAAAAATGTTGCTGTTCAACTGTGCTGTTTGCCATGTTCTCACTAAAGGTGTGTCATTGTATCAGCTCATCCCTCAGTCACTGTATCAGAATTAATCAAATCCGATAAGTAGTGCTGATTGAGTGACACTGTGAATGTGAAAATAACATTTTTATGAGACTGACTGACTCACCACCACAACCTCCAACGTCTCACTGGGATTATTCTGGGAGTCTGGAACAGAGGAAATGTGACTCAGACACGGCACTTTACTTCCAGGTACAATATTGACTGTTCTGTTGATAGCTTTGAGGCTATGTGCCCTCTGGATGGCTCCCTATGTTATTTATAGTGCACTAATTTGACCAGGGCACACACCCTGAGCCTTCACTATTGAAAGCAAAGGTATTTATTTTATATAAAGTGACTTTACCTGTCCTTTTAGAGTGCTTTCGCCTCTTCCAATAGACACCGGCAATTGCAGCAGTGATACTAAGTACTGCCACCACAATCACAATAACAGCTGCTGTTTCAATAGAGAGAAAATTATGTTTAATGTCACAACTCTATCCCTCTGCTGTTTACCAAATTAGTGGTTGTTGTTTGAATCCCGGATTGCGTCTTTATATTCAGAAATAGTCAATTGCCAAATACATGCAACATTAATAACATTTACAAAAATAACGACACAACAGAGCATGCAGCAAGGTGATGTATGCTGTACCTGGGCCTGGAGTTTTACCTGAGATGGTGCTGGATGTGGGCATTCTGGTCTTACAGACCGTGTTGGACGTAGTGGTGCAGTTCTTCACCCTCACCTCATTGTCTTTACATCTGGGAGAAGAGGAGGGTTTCAACAAAAATAGATATTTTTAATGGATTTTGATTAAATATTTTGAAAAGAGATGTAATGTGTAAGGTGAACATTCTTCATTTTGTAATGTTTAATGATAATCGAATGAAGTATAAATGGAAGTTTGTTTGTCAAGTATCAGCGAGTCTGCTCAAATATTCTATGGATGTACCTTGAGCACTTTTTGCACACCTCGCAGGCTTGGTCAGGGGCACAGAAATACCCTGGTTTACACTGGCACTCTGTGTTCTGAGTGATGGTGCATGTCTTTGTGGTCACCTGATCTGTGAGAGGAACACAGAGTTTGCCATGTTGAAAACACAAAAAGATCAGGGCCTGCATCACAGAGTAGAACTGCTGATGTAGGATCTGTTTTGTCATTCATTTCAATGGCATTTATTAAGTTTGAAAAGGCATAACTTCATCGTCAAACAGAATTTACCTGAGCGACACTTAGTGCACTTTAAGCACTGTTGCAGTCCGTTGTCATGTTCAGTGTATGTGTCGAAGTCACAGTCCTCACATGTTCCTTTCTCCAAGGCAACCGTGCACGACACTTTGACATATTTACCTGAGGCCATAGAGAAACAACACAGTTACTAGGCTGTCCAAACAGTTGTCTACCTGTACATTAAGCAGACACTTGACGGTCAGCTGAATATTCATTACTGTAGTCATTACAAGGTCAAACTTGCTTCAGTAGTTCCCATGATAGATTTCAGCTTGTGACACACTGGCTACGTCCAAATAGCACCCTATTCCCTATATAGTGCACTACCTATTCCCCGTAGGGCTCTGGTCAAAGGTAGTGCACTATATAGGGAATAGCATAGGCTACCATTTCGGATGCATACACTGTGGATCTCAAATCTCCATTTGGCTCACCAGCTGGGCAGTTCAAACAGCAGATGTTGTCATGTGGGTACTCCAAGTTTTCCCGGCATGAGATGTCCCGCTGTCTCCTGTTCCTGACGCTGCCTCCTGTCTGTGCCAACTCAAGGCCAGATTGAGCTGCCGCCATGGGGTTGAGGGCCCAGATTATGAGGACAACCTTAGATAAAGATGATGAGCAACTTGTACTAAAAACATACTGTCATCCAGTTGTCCCCTTGCTTCCTTTAGACACCCATAACATCTAAGCAAAGTGTAATCAAAGTGGGTTAGTGAATCAGCATTGTAAAACTAGTTATTTCTTTCCTCACAATATGGCATTATCAAATCAAACTTTTTTGGGGGTCATATGCACAGGAAACAGCGTAGAGTACACAGTACAATGACATTATTGACTTTACAATAAATAAATAAAAATCGGGAATACCTCTAGGTTCCATATTAATGACTAACCAGGGAAGGGCAATATCACAATCCCAGAATGTATTTGAGATCATCCAAACCTTGTTTGCGAAGCAATTTCCTAGCTTTTGTACATACAGAGCTCCTTGTTCGAATGATATCATAGTTTGCAACACTTCAGTTTGATAACAGGACCAATATAATTACATTCCTGATCACACCACTGACTCTAGCAAAACAACTACAAAGTTCAGCTACTGCGGAAGAGGGAAGCAATAAATGGGGATTTCCATCACTGGCAATAGTGGAGATGGATCATAAATCTCCCCCACTTAAAATATTCAGACATGGTTAACTACTAATAGGCCATTTAATGTGATGTGTAGAAAATGAGACATCAGCAAGTTGCCAGTCATTGTGAATGTGGGTATTTTAGGCTGCATTTAAAGGCACCCAAATAATTGGGCAAAAGATCAGAATTGGGCTGCCTGTGTAAACGCAGCTTCATACACAGAGTCCGTATGGCATATTACTCTGTTCATCTCATGAGAACAGTGGGAGTCTAGCTGAGGTAAAACTCCATAGGTTTTAACTCATTTTATATGAGTTGGGCAAAGGATGTTATGTGAAGCCCATGCGGCTCTGAATGGTCAAGTGTAGGTGTGTGGCGGAATAAGAGTGTGACTGTACATGGGTGTATGACTGATCAAAAGTGTATGCATATTAATGTCAGCATGTTCCCTTTCTGGAAAACGCATGTTCCTGTCAGTGTCTTTGTGCAAAGTTGAGGGTCGCTAGACTTGAATGTTCATAGTATTGAGGTCAGACGGAGGTACCGAGGACACGGATGGTTATTGTATCGTGTGAAACTTTCAGACTTTCTGATGTTGTGGGATTCTCTCTGGTGTTTACAGAACATCGGTGCTGTGAGATGAGGATATCAGGGCCTGTTTAGACAAAGCAATTGTAGCAGTAGAGCAAAGAATTACAATGTATGAGAAGAAACTAGTGTCTGCAGTGTAGCTGGCAACATTGATGATGATTACGAGTATTTAATGCATGGAATGGTAAAGGTCCAATGCAGATGTTTTTAAAATCCTAATATCAAACCATTTCTGGGTAACAATAAAGTACCTTACTGTGACTGTTTTCAATTGAAATGGCCAAAAATAAACAAAAATAGCTTCTTAGCAAAGGGCAATTTCTCAAGCAAGAATTTAGCTAGGACGGTCTGGGAGTGGTCTAAGTGGTTAGTGGGAAACTGAAAATTAGCTGTTATTGGCAGAGAGGTTTGGAACGGCATTTCTTATTTATCTACTAACTATTTTACCGCCTGGTGATGTCACCAAGGAAGGCCAAAACGCCATCCCACCAAAACAGGATGACATTTCAGGCAGTCTTTTCAAACATCTCTTACACTAAAAGGGCATTATCATCATTATCACAATTTCACAGTGTTATTCCAACTTCATAGTAGGGATGGGCGATATGGACAAAATATCATATCACGATATTTTTGACGGTCTGGTGGTATTTGACGGTGTTTTATATTTTTGGATAATAAAAGTTCTAAATATGCTTTAAGAGTAGTTCATGACACAAGGGTGGCAACACATAAATTATAAGTGATTTTAAATGGGGCTTTCTCCATTTATACTGTTCAATCCAACTCCAAACAAAGATAATTTTCTGCATTTTCATAAACTTCTGCATTTTCTGCACTTTAATTATAATTTCCACATGGTGCCACTAGCATGGTATGGGAAAGAAATCTAAGCCTAGCTAATTGGTGAACTGTTGGAATCATAGAAATATAATGATTATTCTAATTCTATAGTTGGAATATAGTGAGCAGCACCTTGAATACATTGTTGTTTGACATGACAACGAATGAATAAGCCAGGGAGGAATTATTGACATGGCAGGAACCAAAGTGTTGGTCAGTGTTTCCAGGAGAACGTACTTACATGTTACTCTTTCCATGACAGACTGACCAGGTGAATCCTGGTGAAAGCTATGATACCTTATTGATGTCACTTCAATCAGTGTAGATGAAGGGGAGGAGACAGGTTAAAGAAGGATTTCTAAGCCTTGAGACATGGATTGTGTATGTGTGCCATTCAGAGGGTGAATGGGCAAGACAAAAGATTTAAATGCCTTTGAACGGGGTATGGAAGTAGGTGCCAGGCACACCAGTTTGAGTATGTCAAGAACTGCAACGCTGCTGGGTTTATCACACTCAACAGTTTCCTGTGTGTATCAAGAATGTTCCACCACCCAAAGGACATCCAGCCAAATTGACACAACTGTGGGAAGCATTGGAGTCAACATGGGCCAGCATCTCTATGGAATGCTTTCGCCACATTGTAGAGTCCATGCCCCGATGAATTGAGGCTGTTCTGAGGGCAATAGGGGGAGGGGGGGCAACTCAATATTAGGAAGATGTGACTCATGTTTGGTATAGTTAGTGTATATAAAACACAGGAAAATCACGTTTTTGACTGCACTGGGCCTTTAAGGCATAAATGTATGAAAGTGTTTATTCTTTATTTATTTTCAATGTATGTAGTTATATCCTTGTGATGTAGGCCTACTTCTCTATTCATGTAATGTATTATCTAATGTTTTATCTCTGTTTGGATCCCAGGAAGAGGAAAGGGGCTATCTAGTCAGTTGCACAACTGAATGCATTCAACTGAAATGCAGATTTTTTCACCTTGCCGTAGCTGCTGCTTTAGCTGCTAATGGGGATCCTAATAAAATACGAAAACGATATAGGCCTACATTTGATTAAAACTGCCTAACAGGCATTAAGGCTAATTAACATAAGTAATCTTGAGTACAACCTCAACTGATTTAAATCCTTCATAAATAAGTAAATAGGATCAATGTCATATAGTGGAAACATACTCCTACCATGAACGCTTCATAACTTGACTCAGATACCAACATTTTGTTTTGTGACAATAACACACATGATAGTGTGAGATATACAACCTCCTATAGCACAATATAACAACTTATGCAAACATCTTGAACTTTAAACACATTTACTTGAGCAGTAGCCCAGAGGCTACATACATCAAACTTCTCAGCGTGGGAGTGCTGATCTAGGAACAGTTTTGCCTTTTAAGATCATAATGAAAAGATTGTATGGACAGGGGGACTTGATCATCCCTCCTACTCTGAGAAGCTTGATAACTAGTCTCCCTAGGCCGATGGGAGGTCTGGGATTTCCGTGACTTGATAGCTGTGGCCCCAGAGCTGGACCTGTGCTACTTTAGTAGGTAATCAGATTCATCACTTTTCACTGGTAGATCATAATGGTTAGCTCTTTTACACGGAACACAAGATGACATGTTTCCCCCATAGTAGATATTCTCCTACCTTGTTCCCTGTAAAAATATATCCTTTCATTTCAACTCTAATCAAATGGCATGTTGTTGCCGTTTTTTCAACAGGTGCACAGCTGGGAAATAGAAATATAGGCCTAGACTACTGTATGGAACCGGCACCTCATTGTTTATTTTTTTTTTAGAAAGCATGGGGTACATTAACTGCACAACATTAAGGGTATATCAGAGTAACAACCGTGTATGAGTATGCACAGCAGTGTTCTAGAATATTGGACCATTGGTGTTCCTACTTTTCTAATTCCAGGAGTTGCTTTAGAGTTCAGAAATCTGCATTTTCAAAACACAGACCATCAAAAAATCTGCGTTTTAAACCATTTCAACTGCATTTTATATTGCTTACAATGAAATAGAAAGGTATTTTTTGCTAAAACGATGTATGGTCATCATATTTCTAATGTTTATCATTTACATTTAAGTAATTTACAAATTGGTGCATTCAACTTAGGATAGCCAGTGGGACAACCACTCCTTTCTTTTTTTTATGGGGGGTGGGGGAGGGGAAGTAAGTAGAAGGATTACTGTTATACTATTCCAGGTTTATCATAGAAAGAGTGTAGCCAGCTATGTTTCCTAATGTTTTGCTTGAAGTTAATCTTGCATTTTACCTGAGAAAAATAGGCTACACCGAGAAAAGCACCGGACAAAAGTATACTGAACAAAACATATACGCAACATGCAACAATTTCAAACATTTTACTGAGTTACAGTTCATTTAAGGAAATCAGTCAATTGAAATAAATTCATTAGGCCCTAATCTATGGATTTCACATGACTGGGCAGGGGTGCACCCTTGGAAGACATATGCCCACACACTGGGGAGCCAGGCCCAACCAATGCAAATTAGTTTTTCCCCACAAAAGGGCTTTATTACAGACAGAAATACTGCTCAGCACCCCCCCCTCAGAGATGTGGAGGTCCTGGGCTGGTGTGGTTACACGTGGTCTGCGGTTGAGGCCGGTTGGACGCACTGCCAAATACTCTAAAACAACATTGGAGGTGGCTTATGGTAGAGACATTAACAAATTCTCTGGCAACAGCTCTGGTGGACATTCCTACACCTGTCAGGTGGATGGATTATCACTAACAGGGATGAAATGCTCACTAACAGGGACGTAAACAAATGTATCACAAAATTTGAGCTAAATAAACTTTTTGTGCATATGAAACATTTCTGGGGCCTATTTCAGCTCATGAAACCAACACTTTACATGTTGCTTGTATATTTTTGTTCAGTGTAGCTACACATCAGTCAGAGCTCTGTCTGCTAATAGAATACCTGTTCATGAATTATCATCCAAGTGGAGAAGTGCAACTGAAGCACAAAATATGTCTGATGCCAAGCAGAAATTACAATAAGTATTTTAGATCTTATAGATTCTTCTATTTTAAAAAAAATGTATCGAACATTTAAATTAATAGCGGACATGTAGGCTACCTGTAGGCTACCTGGTTGGTTGGGAGTTGTGCATTCAGGCTGTGCGTTCCCCGTGTATGGTGGTCTCAGAGCCACGTACCTATGTCACAACTATCGCATCTCAGGGTCTATGAACTATGATTTACTCGTTAGTCCGCCATCCCATTGTGACATAAGTATGCGGCTCTGAGACCACCATCAGCGGGTAACGTAGCCTACAGCCCGAACACGCACTTCCGCACAATTCCAAACCAACGCATCCTCTATTCATTTGAATGTGTTGACAATTGGAAAAATTGCTTGAGCTGCCCTGAGAATTCATAAAGTATGAACACTGCTGTGCACGTTTGGTACTCTGATAGGCCCTCTAGTCAAGCTACACAGTAGACTACACCGGCTTCAACCGGCGCCACACAAAAATGTCACACCTTTATGAGCCAATTCTATTGGCATGTTTACGCGACATTCTTTCTGACCGCACACATGGCGCATAGATTCTGAAGATTTTTTTATATTAGAATACATGTCAATCAAAAGTATGCCAACATCGATAATATCATTGGCGAGTGAATGACATCGCTGTACGTGCAGTGTGTAAACAATGTTTCCAGTCAACTTGATCCCACCGACCGCTACAAGTGTCGCGTGAAAAAAACTTACCATCAAATGTATATAGCTCATACTCAAAGGTGTCGTACACATCCCAGTTGAGAGAACCACCATCAGATTATACTCAAAGGTGGCGTACACATTCCAGTTGAGAGAACCAGCATCCGATATTATACTTTTTCTCGCCAAGCAAACTTCAGCCAACTCTCCTCATGATAGAGAAAGTTCCAGATGACGGTTGCGCAGCCTCCGTCACGCCCCTTTAGTCAATGGATTATCTTGGTAACTCCCAATTTAACCTTGTTCTCAATCCTAGACACTTTTTTGATGTCCTTAGATATCTGTTCCATTATCATTGTTATTATTATCCACAGAATGCAAGGATGCTTTTGGGATAACTTGATACAAGGCCTCCTGTACCTTGGTAGAGCATGGCGCTTGCAACGACAGGGTTGTGGGTTCGATTCCCACGGGGGGCCAGAATAAAAAATGTATGCACTCACTGACTGTAAATCGCTCTGGATAAGAGCGTCTGCTAAGTGACTAAAATTTTAATGTAATGTTTAATTACAGTATAGATGCAAATAGAAAACACAATATGGATTGAGTTATTGAATATGTCTTATTCCATATATCATACAAGGGAGTTAAAAAGTATATGAAAACCATTACAAATGCTGTTTTAGTTGGGGAAAACCCACTTTGTAAGACTTCTGGGATTACAAGCCACACAACATTATCAATGTGGAAAACGCTCTTTCTGTGCGTGTCAGTTTTACATGATCTATGCAACAGTTGTCTGCGCCGCTGAGATACAGTATCTCTGGTCTCTCATGCAGTCACAGGAAGGGGAGGGTTGAACGGACTCATTTGCTCAGAAAGAGAGGAATTTCATACCCACATCAGAGTGCTGGGAAGCATGAACTAGTACATCACCTGACAGTAAACTGTGAAACTACACTAACACAGTCACCCTGTCTACAGATAGAATTATGTGAGGATGGTTTAGATTAAATTTAAGTATATTTGTGACCTATTTAGGTCATATATCAAATACAATATATTTACAATAAAAGGTAAATAAAAATAAAAAATATAGTATGGACAGTGCATCAAATGTTCTGCCACATGCAGTAGTCATACATTAGCCTATATTGTCTGGGTCCAACACAGCCACACATTGTACTGAACGTTTTTTGTTTTGCTGATATTTTTACCTGTTACCTTAGCAACTTACTCATGGGGTCAATAAACGCTAGAACGTGAAACTGATAAGACAGCTGGTCATAAGCCATTTCTTAAAATAAACATGAACATACCATACTGTATTGTACAACAGTATATCCATAGTCTATTCCTTTATAAATGTTCAAGCCTTAGAGCAAGAAAGCCATTATTCATATACAGTGCATTTGGACCTCTTTACTTTTTCCACATTTTGTTAAGTTACAGCCTTATTCTAAAATTGATTAAATTGTTTTTTCCCCTCATCAATCTACACACAAATAGGTTTTTTGAAATGTTTGCACAAAAAAAAGAGGATAATATCACATTTACTTAAGTATTCATGCCCTTTACTCAGCACTTTGTTGAAGCACCTTTGGCAGCAATCACAGCCTCGAGTCTTCTTGGGTATGACGCTACAAGCTTATCACACATGTTTTTGGGGAGTTTCTTCCATTCCTCTCAAGCTCTGTCAGGTTGGATGGGGAGAGTCGCTGCACAGCTATTTTCAGGTCTCTCCAGAGATGTTTGATCGGGTTCAAGTCCGGGGTCTGGCTGGGCCACTCAAGGACATTCAGAGACTTGTCCCGAAGCCACTCCTGCATCGTCTTGGCTGTGTGCTTAGGGTCGTTGTCCTGTCGCCCCAGTCTGAGGTCCTGTGCACTCTGGAGCAGGTTTTCATCAAGGATCTCTCTGTACTTTGTTCCGTTCATCTTTACCTCGATCTTGACTAGTCTCCCAGTCCCTGCCGCTGAAAAACATCCCCACAGCATGATGCTGACACCACCATGCTTCACCATAGGGATGGTGCCAGGTTTCCTCTAGACGTGACACTTGGCATTCAGGCCAAAGAGTTCAATCTTGGTTTCATCAGACCAGAGAATCTTGTTTCTCATGGTCAGAGTCCTTTAGGTGCCTTCTGGCCACTCTACCACAAAGGCCCGATTGGTGGAGTGCTGCAGAGATGGTTGTCCTTCTGGAACTCTGTCAGAGTGACCATTGGGTTCTTGGTCACCTCCCTGACCAAGGCCTTTCTCCTCCGATTGCTCAGTTTGGCTGGCGGCCAACTCTAGGAAGAGTCTTGGTGGTTCCAGCGTTCTTGGGGACCTTCAATGCTGCAGAAATGTTTTGGTACCCTTCCCCAGATCTGTGCCTCGACATAATCCTGTCTCGGCGCTCTGCCGACAATTCCTTCGACCTCATGGCTTGGTTTTTGCTCTGACATGCACTGTCAACTGTGGGTCCTTATATAGACAGGTGTGTGCCTTTCCAAATCATGTTCAATCAATTTAATTTACCACAGGTGGACTCCAATGAAGTTGTAGAAACATCTCAAGGATGATCAATGGAAACAGGATGCACCTGAGCTCAATTTCGAGTCTCATAGCAAAGGGCCTGAATAAGGCATCTGTTTTTTAAATGGTCTAAAAACCTGTTTTCGCTTTGTCATGATGGGGTATTGTGTGTTGATTGATGATGAAAAACATTGATTTAATCAATTTTAGAATAAGGCTGTGACGTAACAAAATGGGGTCTGAATACTTTCCGAATGCACTGTAGATCTAACAATCAAAAGACGTGTGGACAACTCATGACACTGCTATGTTTGCTATAGCGGTTGCATTCTGTGTTTCTTGATAAGGATGCAGACTCAAGGGAGTGGCAAGGGTCCCTGAGCTGCCCATTTAAGATAAGTGTGAACTTTGTACTGAAGGTGACTGCTTGGTTTCCTTGGTTTGGATTGTGCTGGGCCTAGTCTGACTTCGAAGTAAGCAAACAATTTACTCCGGAAATGACACATTATGTACTTAAGAAGATGAACAAACACGTTACCTCCCCTCACCTTGCCTCTCCTAGCAGTTTGGGACATTCTGTTTGAGACCTCACCTTCCTCAGAGGCAGATTTAGAAACTATTCCCATGAGTCTCATTAGAACTGTACTCTGCAGTGAACTATCCTGTTTGGCACACTAACTTCTTGTGTGCCCAGGATTGCATGGCATGCAGGGAGTGGGTGGCCAGGGCACTTTTTCTGTGCTGGCATTAAGATATTTAAAGACTATGAGCACCCACATTATTCTTTAGGGTTAGTACAGCCAGAGGATAACTGGGACCAAGCTACTGTAGATTCATGAAGAGACCTGTGGAAGAAAACATCTGAGCCATATTGTACAAGTGAGGAGAAATCAAAAGCATGAGAAACCATTGAGCTCAGAAACATGTAGTCAAACAGCACAACAGTGAAGTAGCCCTAGTAGTTCATAACAGTGTAGGAAATATATAGTGTCAAAGGTGCACAGTAACTCACTCATACGCAAGTTGAGACTTTAACTGTACATTTATTTCCAAAAGGCTGCATATACATTTGCAAATTCTACTGTACAGAAAACATCCAAAATGTCCATAATTATATAGATACAATATACCACAAAGCTGCCCTGGCAATACTAAACATATATGTTTAGCACTAGAAAAGCTCTGCAGCCTATTCAATTATATAATCTTAAATACTTTTTCAACTAATACTTTTTTAAATGTATGTATGTTGGTATGGTTTTGCTTTGTTTCTTTTTTTTTTCAGCCCCATCTGTACTTTACAACATTCACCATTTACAGTAGTTAAACAAGGCACAATAATAGTGATATGAAGCCAAAGGCCATGCGTGATGTGAAATGGAGCATAGCAACATCCGTCCTGATGAAGTCAGGGTGGATCTATAGGATGCGTCCCAAATTATACCCTATTCCCTTTATAGTGCACTACGTTTGCCCTTGGTCAAACATAGTGCACTCCCACTGGGCATAGACGTCCGTTCAAAGTCTAGTTTTGATTTACATTTGGTTGTCAACTAACCTGAATTCAACGTAAAAAATAAATTAAATAAAAATCACCATGTCATTGGATTTAGGTTAGACTTCCACGTTGAGTCACATTACATTTTTTGTTTGAAATGACGTGGAAACAATGTTGATTCAACCAGTTTTTGCCCAGTGGGCTATAAAGGAAATATGATGTCATATGGGACACAACCATAGTTACTAACTCAGGGGACATTACATCAGGGGTCCAACAGTAAACTCTTCAGCCTGTGACACAACAATAGTCTTCAGCCTGTGACACAATAGTCTTCAGCCTGTGACAACAATAGTCTTCAGCCTGTGACAACAATAGTCTTCAGCCTGTGACAACAAAAGTCTTCAGCCTGTGACAACAATAGTCTTCAGCCTGTGACAACAATAGTCTTCAGCCTGTGACAACAATAGTCTTCAGCCTGTGACAACAAAGCAATAATAATACAGTGTATGTATGGTTCAAAACCCAGTGGCCCACTTAATAACATTTAAAAACGTAACTTCAACATTTAATACCTTAGATATGACTAGGCATGTATGCAATAGGCAACTTTAAATAAAATAGTTAAAATGCTATGTTTGGTTGTTATGATGTATTGTATTCCACAGACAAATGCTCTTAATGCAACATTAGCCACTGTTTAGCATTACAACAGCACACTTGTTTCTGTGCTTTTCACCACTCTTGCTCACATTAGTACAGGGAATTAAAATTAAATTGGTAACAATTAAGAAAAACAATCATTTTCAAAACGTAAAGCTCACCCACTCACTAATCTAATCTATAGCCAGCTGGATTGTATAACGATTAACGCTCAATTGATTAGGAGAGCATAGCAAATGTGTTATGTAGAAACCAAAAAGCAATGTAGGTTTCATGTACCCACTGGGCACACACTGGTTGAATAAGTGTTGTTTCCATGTCATTTCAATGAAATTACATTGAACCAACGTGGAATAGACAATGCATTGACGTCTGTGCCCAGTGGGTAGAGAGTAATTTCAGCTCTTGTCTGATCGTTGCTGATGAGAGCAAGATACAGTACATCAATAAGGGCATAGTAGATACAGCTCAACAGGTTTCCATTTAGGATGCATTCTTTTGTATATGAAATTGCATATAACAAACTATGAGCTAACAGTGTTTTAGGTAGTTCAGAGGAGACTGCAACTGGTGAACAATGAACAAGTTGAGCGTTTTGTAAAATGTAATAGTAGTGAGACACCTCTGAGCGGCATTTTCTAAAAGTATTTAGATCATTTCAAATCCTTGTTATTATGCTCATTGTAATATAAATGAAAGCAGTGAGTAACTACAAACAGCCATGATCCAAGCCTGTACCTGATAAATCATACTGAACACATAAAACAGAAATATGCATCATAAGAATGACTTTGAAGTATACATCCCATCCTATGAATTACATGGAATAAACAAATTCATCCTATGAATTACATGGAATAAAAAAATCCATCCTATGAATTGCATGGAATAAACAAATCCATCCTATAAATTATAGGCTACATGGAATACAAAAAAGTACAGAAACACCATCCAGTTGCATTCTTTAGTGTTTCTTAAAAACCATGTACAATACAATGCCTATTGTTCAAACCAGTAGTTCCCCTGCTTTCCTGTGGCATTTAAGATGTGTCCCAAATGGCACCATATTTACTATAGAGCCCTATGGGCCCTCCTTACTTATGCAGTACAACAATATGTTAAAACAGGCCTGCTTATTGTACCAGAAAGGCTTCCCATACTATTACACATTCTATCCACATCAGGGTTGGGGTAAATTCTACAAAATAAATTATAATTCAATTATCTTCCCCTGTAAATTCCAATTAATTGACTTCAAATTCCATGTCAGTCTTTGAATTCAGAGATAATTCAATTTCTCTGAATTCCAATGTTAGGTCAATTCCAATAATTACATTCCGAATTCAATACTATCCCCAACAATTCCATAAATTTCAAATTAAATTCCCTCAGGCTTTCAGGCTGATCATGTCAATGTTCAGACAGCCTAGCTATACTGGCAATATAGGAATACAGGTTGAAATGATTAAAAACAAATCCTACAGTCCATTTTTTATACTATGTGCATTAATTCCCTAAACTGGGAAATGTAAAAATATTGAATTCCAATTCAATTAAATTCCAAAGTTTAAATGTTTTTACAGTTCCAATTCAAAAAGTCCAAACAGTCTAATTCCAATTCAATTCCATAACTTGAATATTTTTTAAAGTCAACTTTAATTCAACATAAAATTCTCCACTTCATGAGTGAATTCAAGAATTGAATTGGAATTTCAAGTTAAATTGGAATTGACCCCAACCCTAATCCACATTCATGTCCTGTGTAGTTGTGAAGTGCTGTGCCTCTGTTGGGGGGCTTCTGTGTGGTGGGTAGATCAGCAACTCTTTGACAGGTGTTAATGGTTGAAAGTGGGTGATAAGATGCAGTGTTACACATGGCATAGTGCCAGGAAATTATGTCTTACAGCTCCTACAGCTTTCTCTTTCTCCCCCAGGGTGGCCAAACCACAACTGTCACACGCATGCATGCACGCAAACACACACACACACACCACACACACAGCTGTACTGTAGCCGACAAAGACGTTTCCATCATTGTCAGGGGTTTTCCTTTAAAGATAACATGATTCAGGCTGGCTTCTCTAACAGTACATTGTCCTCACACAACCCACCATTGTACCGGCAGGATCTCTTTAACAATGTTACGCTGATACAGAAAAAAAATCGGAACATTACAGTAAAAAGCATGTTATTTAACTCTGTTTATACCTGTTTCAGAATGGTTTCTCCCATTTGAGACATTATCTGGAATTGATGACCAAGTATTCAAATAGAAACGAATACCATACAGCTGTCTTACGGTATAGGTGTGATATGGGCTACTTCTCAAATGGAACATCCTATGCCCAATTTAGTGCACTACTTTTCACCAGATTCTATATGGCGCTGGTCAAAAGTAATGCACTACATCGGGAATAGGGTGCCATTTGGGACGCACTCACTGTAAATGCAGGTGCACATGAGGGCAGTTTCAATCCCTGGGGACGGTGACGAGCAGTTGCACTCTCTGAAGCGCATTGGTGGGTCCCCTATATCCTGAACAACAGAATAAGAAAACAAACTCAAATGGTCAGCCTGACTTAAGAATAGCATTAACTAGGAGGAAAATAATGGAGGGAATAGAAAGGAAAAAGGCCAAACAGATTTACAGTACATCATCAGAAAGGGGTCGATAAAGTTACAGTACACACAGCAATGACAGATTTCTTTTTTTTCTCAGTGGTAATTTTTTCCTGTCATGTTTTTTGCTCTGTGAACAACAAACTCCATTCGCACATTGACATCCTATGGACCTTTTAATCCACGACCGAGTTAACGGTCAGTCGTCATGTGCATATATGGATATGCATTACACTGGGCTTGTTGGGATCTATGTAGCAGGAGGAGACAAGTCAGCCAGTATACTCAGGGACTGAGTTAGCCGTCTCATGATTGGTGAGTTCACCCATTCCACACACTGGGTTGTCTGAGCTTCCTGTTCCTAAATGATGTACAGAGTCTGATTCAGGGTCCTCCTGGCTCTTTGCTGCAGTGCTTTTGGACTGGATCTTGCCAATTTCCTCCAGAGCGCTTGCCAGAGAGTCAAGGTCACCAGTGTCTTGGTGTCGTGCCTCCCACAGGCTCAGTATGACAGCAGAGGGGCTCTGTTGCTTAGCAAAATACAACAGGTTCCTGGGGGGAAGGAGGGAAATGCGTTAGTGGACAAAATGGTAACAGAGCACTTAGCAAAGTGAACAACACTTTGGTTTATGAAAAAAAAAGTTGTTTATAGATCTTTGTCTCCTATGAGATATAATTCAGTGTTTCAGCACAGCGCTGGTTCCTAATCTCAGCAGGGAGGGACTGACATTGTGCTGGAAAATGTTTCTCTGAGACAAGACATAATGGACATGATCAGGGATTTCTTGAAATATCAAAGTAAGTCAACTAAGGTACAAGTTAACATTTGTGTGGAAGAAGTCAATTTCAAGTTAGAGCTGAATATTTAGGCCTATGACAAATGTACTCTGTAGGTTTATGGGTGGTTTGTGGTAACAGCTTGCAATGTGTATATTACTGAAAGCCATTAGATCCAGTGGAGGGCACTATTTCACTATAAAACAATGGTTTACCCCTCCCTACCAAAAGCATCACCCTCTGTGAATGCAGTCATTTCACTGATGTGCCATCAGACTCAATTAAAATCAGCTTAACATGATAAGATATCAAATGAGGACAGCTGATCGGGCTCATTTGGAACCACTAAAGTCTCTCAAATACCTTCTGCTGTTTGTTCAAGCAATCATTGAAACACCCCGTGAGACATGATGGACAGTTGGGCAGCATCTCAAATGGCACACTATTCCCTATTTAGTGCCATAGGGCCCTGGTGAAAAGTAGTGCACTACGTAGGGAATATGGTGCTACTTGGGATCAGAGCCTTGGACACTCACCTATCTAGATGGAGTTTCTGGGCTAAGAGCTGCCAGTCCTTGCCCTTAGCGTTGGCAGTGTCAAAGGTGGCACAGATCCTCTGGTGGATGGATAGGGGGATTTTGAAGGCCTTGGGTCCTGTCTGTGAGGTGACGGTGCAGTCTGTCTGCATAAAAAACAGGACTGACTCCTTCTTGCTCTACAAAGGAGAGAGCCAAAACACAATGTCACAGTTGTCAAATATAATTCAATTACATTTTTATTTAACAAAAGGGCTGTTAAGATACACAGGACCAAGAATAGTCAGCTCTCACTGATAGTCTATCTACCCTCTGTTTTATAAAGAAACACAGGATGCATCCCAAATGGCACCCTATTCCCTATATAGTGCACTAGAGTTGACCAGAGCCCTATAGGGAATAGGGTGACATTTGAGAGACAACCACTGCAGACCCCTGAGGACAGGCTGTTCAGCCAGCAGAGGACACTGACTCACCAAGGTTAAATAAAGATTGTATGTATGGATTGTGGGAGTAAAATGTCCTCCACACACAGAGCCAGGCTCACCTCCACCACAGAAGTATAGACCTGCAGAATTTGCTCGTGACCTTTGACCTGCTTCACGCTAATCTTGCAAGAGAACTGGGTGGTGGTGGGGCTGTATCTCTCCAGGGAGAATGCACAGTGCAGGGGCTGCTGGTTGCTGCACCACACTTGGGAAAAGGAAAATTCCTGCATGGAGACAGAGACAGAGCAAGAGAGAGATAGAGCGAGAGAGAGAGAGACAGAGCGAGAGAGAGAGAGACAGAGAGAGATAGAGAGACAGAGCAAGAGAGAGAGCGAGAGAGAGAGAGCGAGAAAGACAGAGCGAGAGAGAGAGCGAGAGAGAGACAGAGAGAGACCGAGAGAGACCGAGAGAGAGACAGAGCGAGCGAGAGAGCGAGAGAGAGACAGAGCGAGAGAGAGACAGAGCGAGAGAGAGACAGAGCGAGAGAGAGACAGAGCGAGAGAGAGGAGGAAGACAGAGGCAAAACAAGATGAGGAATCTGGGCTTCTACAGTATTATTCCTCTCCAGAAGATGACTCAGCTCCTATGCTATCCATCACATGGGAAGGTCTCATATGCATACGCAGACAAAGTAGTGGGGTAAGAGGGTGTTTGAGGGGTTTGAAGTCGCACAGCGTTATGCAACGATAGCATTGTGTATGGAAATATGCATTTGTACTGTAGGGAGAGGGGGAGGGGTAAATCCCACTTAACTCTGATAATGGAAGTCGGATCGCGAGCTAAGTATTACACGCGATATCTGGGAGCGAGGGAACGACGAACGGGAAAATTATTGCCTTTGATGCAGAATTAATTTCTGCCGTGGGCACATCGGCAGGGAAACGTCCTTGACCTCCCGTATGCTCCCTTCTAACATCTCTGCACAATAAAGTGACCAGTAAACTATTCACAGTGATGACATGCATCCCAAATGGCAGCCTATCCCTTATATAGTGCACTACTTACAGTGAACTTCCCATACGGCTCTGGTCAAAAGTAGTGCACTATATAGGGAATATGGTGCTTTATGGGACTCACACATGGTGATAGGGACCCCGGCTAACTGTACAGTAATTTAAAAAAATAAATAACGCCTGGTTTGCCTACAGAGGACTTAACCCCTTGGCTTTGATCATCAGATCCTCCATGATGCGGGATGGATGCAGCAGATAATGGTGTGCTAGGGGAATGATGGACGTGGAGAGGCCAGGTACTCTTTAGCAGTAAAAGCTGACTTGATGTACTGTATGGTGCAGGCGAGAGCCATTACTCTCCACCTGCTCAGTGAAAGGGGGAGGTTCACAGAGGCAGTCTCCCTCCAAAGATCCTCATAAATAAGCCAAGAGGAGGTGTCTGTCTGGCGGTCTGTCTGAGGCATGCCACCCTACTTCCTCGCCCCACTCACATATGTATGGGAGCAATTATACAGCCTATTGGAAAAACAAGCACAGACATTTTAAAGTGAGCGGTAGGTAGAAGGCAATATTAGCTAATCAAAAGAGAACGATCACGCTCTCCCAGAAGCTTGGCTGGTGGGTAAAACCCACAAATTCAGACAAACTAAAGAGGAGTAATGGGTTCAAAAATATGTCGCATAAAGCTTACTTCATAATTTTTTTACTGCAACAGGGATAGCGTACACAGACGTTTCGGCTTTACAGCCTTCTTCAGTGTTTAGGTAAAAAAACTAACAAATCTAAACAGCATTTGTAATGGACAACAGATGAACAGCACGTGCTTCTTATCAAATTATAATTTGTATACAGGTAGACCAGAAAAGCCACATCCCTGATTGGCAGATGAGTGGCAAACCTGATTAGAAGCACCTGCTGCTCATTTGTTGTTCTTTACAAATGCTGTTTTGATTTAAAGAAAATTGTACCTACACACGGAAGGCTGTAATGCCGAAACGTCTGTGTAAGCTATCCCTGATGCAGTAAAAAAAATTAAAAACATTGAATAATGAAGTAAGCTTTATGCGACATATTGAGGTCGAACCTGTTACACCTCTTCGTTTGTCTGAAGGCAATATTAGAAAACATATTTACAGAGGAATTACTGACCTACATTGCTGTGCAGTGTTCATACACAGGTACCAATAAAGGTAAACAACCTCCAGTAAGTCTGGTTGTAACCACAATGTCAACAATCTGGCAACAAATAACACATACAACTTTCCATGCTCAGATTTCCAGTAATGTATCTGAAATCATTCAGTGCTCAATCTGTAAGTAGTTACTGTCTCAGTTACCTGACACGTGGTAAAGGGTTTGATGTTCCATAGAAACTGTGGGACATCCTGGATGGAGACCTGGAGGCTGAAGGTGTTCCCTCTGAAAGGCAACATCTTGGGTTCCTCCAGGAGCTGTCCTCCTCTACCTGTCTCTGTGGCCACCACTCCCTGGGTATGGAGGAAGGGAGGGAGGGATGGATGAGAGAGAGAAAGTCAGTGGGACAGTCTCACCACAGTTTACATCCCAGTTCACTGCCAACCAACTGTTGAGTGACTGATTCTTGCTCCGGGGGATCCACAAATCCAGTATCGCAAACATTATCATTATCAAAACCTGAGCATTGTTCTCATGTCAAGAGTGTCCTTAAATGACATTTAAGAATATATAAAAAATACAATTCTCATTAGTAGCTATATCAAATGTGGAGCCATACAAGTTTTAAGTTTCAATTTAATGCATTGGATGAGCATGTATCGGCTAACATCCGTCCACCAAGTTGAATTTGGAGTGATGAAAGAGCTCTTTGATTTGAGGCTGAAGTTATTCATCTGGCATCATTGTTCTCTGTTTATGTGGCTGTCTATCTTCAGACATCTTAATCACCAAAAAAAAATTGTGTGTGCGTGCTTATTGCTTCTTCATGGTAGGTGTTAAAAACAATCCACCATTGGCAATGTGAACAAAAAACATGCTTGAAAATTGCTAAAATAATACAAATACAATGACAACAGCGAACCTGCTGGATGATGTATCCTCCATCTACCTTTGTCTTTCAACACAGTTACATCCTGGACATCATTGAACTCAACTCTATGGTTGTCCAGCAGATCACAGAGCTTCCTATTAAAAATCATCCTCAAAATCCATCCAATCACTTTAAGGGCACATCATGGCCATTGTCTGTGACCTTGAGAAATGACACCCCATTCAATGCTGCAACATTTCCCCATCCCCCGTCTTTAAGATAATCATTGCTTGGGCAAATTGTATCTACAGATTCTGTATTCCCTATGCAGACTAGACGGTTGTTTGCCAGCCCAAACCTAACATTGTATGGCCGCTGAAGCCAGAGTAACAGCTACATTCAAAAGGAAATCTCTCACTGAAATGAGATCCTTAATATTATTATCAGGAGCATCCTATTGATCTAGGTCAAGTATATGACTAGTGATTGACTGTGTACAACAGTGAGTGTGATTGTAGCCGACAGAGACCCAGGGGACAGAGAGGGCTGGCATCTGCTCGGCAGGCTGCGCTTGGGACGGATTCATAAACCAAATCCAAAAAAGCATTTTAAACCCAGCTGCCGGTGACTTCTGCTAAATCACAGGAACACAAGCTGAGTCACTCCTGAGGCCTGTTCTGTTCTGTCTCAGGGGAAGTGAGGAAGTTTAATTCCCTGATGCTAGATGATAAGATATCAATACACACATTCACATGCTTTATTGAATTTAATCAACTCAGACTCACATACAGTACAATATGACCAAATGATTGTAAAGCTAATGCGTAAATATAAAATGTAAATGTAAATGTAAATATCAATGTTTCTTCTATCATCTACTGCCTGAGCAAAATCACTGTCATCAATATTGAGCTTCATATGATTGCACAGGAGAGCCAACGGCAATCAATGAAAATAACCAACCCCCCACAAACACTCGAAACAATGATGGTACCTGAAAGGCGTGTGGCGTGTCGTCCACACAGTAGACTCGGAGGCTGTAGTCCATGGGGTTTGGCCCCATGCTGCCAAACACTGCTAGCTTCAGCCTCTTCACGGCTGCCTGGGTGAGCGGTTCACCAACAAGGGCATAGGAGCCCGGCTGGTCCAGCAGCAGGTGGCAGCTACTGGAGTCAATCAGGCAGTAACAAGACGTTGACTCATCCTCCACTTCCTGGAAACGCAGAACATAGAACACAACACAGGTCGCTTGGCAAAAGAGGATGATAAGATGATTAGCATCATTACATTTGATTATACTGAGAAGAAATACTATAATTATGCTCTGTGGGCTGTGTTTGTGTATTGTATATTTATTTGTTCTGCGTCTTTTATAGTGTTGTGTCATCATGGGAGCATTTCAATGTTTGATTCTAAGTTACATAATGGAAATTAATATAATTGAAGTGCTTTTTCAAACAGGAACAATATCTACTTATAAAGCAGTCTCTGAAGTATGTGATAATCAGCTAGGAGATGGTAACATATCTCAGAACACCGATCAGTCAATATGAACAATACACACGTTGTATTTAAGAACATGACAGCAGTAGGCCTAGGTGAGAAACACTTATTTAAAATTACAATTAATAGATTGTCTTCTTATCCTAGACAGCCTATAACATAATTTATACCCCAGACTACAGTATCCATCCCCCAAAAAAGAATGCCAATCTGGCAGAAAATTGGAAACATAACAAGCTATATCATTTACACAAATGAGAAGTAATGAAGGACCAATGAGTGTTAGCTAGTATCTACCAATTTTGCTGTCTCTTGTTAGTCTGTGTTGTGTTGAACCTCTGGTTGCAGAAAGGGGTAATGAGATGCAAGGCTGAGCTACATAAATTAGATGACTGGCTCATCCTCAGGGTCATTAGCAGAGCAGAGCAGACAGAGGGCTATATGCATCCCAAATAGCACCCCATTATCTTTATAGTACATTATTTTTGACCAGAGCCCCTGGTCAAAAGTAGTGCACTATGTAGGGTATAGGGTGCCATTTGGGACGCAGCCAGAGAGCTATGCTACCCCACCACCCAGATGACTGACTGGAGTTCAAATCATGACTCACATCACATACAAGGCTTTAACCAGTATTTCATGCTATTACTGTATGCCTTTTCGAGGTATTATGATTGTCATGAAAACTTTATGTCCTTTGGCTTGATTTCTATGAAAGGACTCATTATTTCCAAGAACCTCTGAGGGGTCACCTTACTTTTTAATATTAAGAGTGAAAAGCGACATAAGACTTGTATTCATTGAAGTGCCTACTTCAGGTCTCTCCATTTTCCCTTCGCAGTACCATCTTGAGTATAATAGGGGCAGTACAGTGCATTCAGACCCCTCGACTTTTTCCACATTTTGTTACATTACAGCCTTATTCTAAAATGGATTAAATTGTTTTATTTCCCTCATCAATCTACACACAATACCGAAGCAAAAACAGATTTTTAGATTTTTTTGTAAACGTATAAAAAAACAACTGAAATATCACATTTACATAAGTATACAGACCCTTTACTCAGTACTTTGTTGAAGCACCTTTGGAAGCGGTTACAGCCTCGAGTCTTCTTGGGTATAACGCTACAAGCTTGGCACACCTGTATTTGGGGAGTTTCTTCCATTCTTCGCTGCAGATCCTCTCAAGTACTATCAGGTAGGATGGGGAGCGTCGCTGCACAGATATTTTCAGGTCTCTCCAGAGATGTTTGATCGGTTTCAAGTCCGGGCTCTGGCTGGGCCACTCAAGGACATTCAGAGACTTGTCCCGAAGCCAGTCCTGCGTTGTCTTGGCTGTATGCGTAGGGTCATTGTCCTTCGGCCCAGTCTGAGGTCCTGAGCGCTCTGGAGCAGGTTTTCATCAAGGATCTCTCTGTACTTTGCTCAGTTCATCTTTGCCTCAATCAAATCAAATGAAATGTTATTGGTCACATACATGTGTTTAGCAGATGTTATTGCAGGTGTAGCGAAATGCTTGCGCCTCTAGCTCCGACAGTGCAGTAATATCTAACAAGTAATATCTAACAATTTCACAACATATACCCAATACGCACAAATCTAAGTAATGAATTAATTAAGAATATATACATATATGGACGAGCGATGTCAGAGCGGCATGGACTAAGATACAGTTGAAGCTTTTCACCTTCTCCACTGCGGTCCCGTCGATGTGGATAGGAGGGTGCACCATCTGCTGTTTCCTGAAGTCCACGATCATCTCCTTTGTTTTGTTGACGTTGAATGAGAGGTTATTTTCCTGGCACCACACTCCCAGAGCCCTCACCTCCTCTCTGTACGCTGTCTCGTCATTGTTGGTAATCAAGCCTACCATTGTTGTGTCGTCTGCAAACTTGATGTTTGAGTTGGATGCGTGCTTGGCCACGCAGTCATGGGTGAACGGAGTACAGGAGTAGGCTGAGCACGTGCCCCAGTGTTGAGGATCAGCAAAGTGGAGGTGTTGTTTCCTACCTTCACCACCTGGGGTCGGCCCGTCAGGAAGTCCAGGACCCAGTTGCACAGAGCGGGGTTCAGACCCAGGGCCTCGAGCTTAATGATGAGCTTGGAGAGTACTATGGTGTTGAATGCCGAGCTATAGTCAATGAACAGCATTCTTACATAGGTATTCCTCTTGTCCAGATGGGATAGGGCAGTGTGCAGAGTGATGGCAATTGCATCGTCTGTGGATCTATTGGGGTGGTAAGCAAATTGACGTCTAGGGTGGCAGGTAAGGTATAGGTGATATGATCCTTGACTAGTCTCTCAAAGCACTTCATGATGACAGAGGTGAGTGCTACGGGGCGATAGTCATTTAGTTCATTTACCTTTGCTTTCTTGGGTACAGGAACAATGGTGGCCATCTTGAAGCATGTGGAGACAGCAGACTGGGATAGGGAGAGATTGAATATGCCCGTAAACACACCAGCCAGCTGGTCTGCACATGCTCTGAGGATGGGGCTAGGGATGCCGTCTGTGCCCGCAGCCTTGCGAGGGTTAACATGTTTAAATGTGCCACTGAAAAACATCCCCACAGCATGATGCTGCCACCACCATGCTTCACCGTAGGGATGGTGCCACGTTTCCTCCAGACATGACGCTTGGCATTCAGGCCAAAGTGTTCAATCTTGGTTTCATTAGACCAGAGAATCTTGAATCTCATGGTCTGAGATTCTTTAGGAGGCCTTTTGGCAAACTCCAAGCGGGCTGTCATGTGCCTTTTACTGAGGAGTGGCTTCCGTCTGGCCACTCTATTATAAAGGCCTGATTGGTGGAGTGCTGCAGAGATGGTTGTCCTTCTGGAAGGTTCTCCCGTCGCCACAGAGGAACTCTAGAGCTCTGTCAGAGTGACCATCGGGTTCTTGGTCACCTCCCTGACCAAGGCCCTTCTCCCTCGATTGCTCAGTTTGGCCAGGCGGCCAGCTCCAGGAAGGGTCTTGGTGGTTCCAAACTTCTTCCATTTAAGAATGATGGAGGCCACTGTGTTCTTGGGGGACCTTCAATGCTGCAGAATTTGTTTGGTACCCTTCCCCAGATTCGTGCCTCGACATAATCCCGCCTCGGAGCTCTGCGGACAATTCCTTCGACTTCATGGCTTTGTTTGTGCTCTGACATGCTCTGTCAACTGTGGGACCTTTTATATACAAATGTGTGTGCCTTTCCAAATCATGTCCAATCAAGTGAATTTACCACTGGTGGACTCCAATCAAGTTGTAGAAATATCTCAAGGATGATCAATGGAAACAGGAGTCTCATAGCAAAGGGTCTGAATACTTAAGTAAATAAGATATTTCTGTTTTCATTTTTAATAAATGTGCCAACATTTCTAAAACCCTGTTTTCACTTTGTCATTATTGGGTAATGTGTGTACAAGTGGGGAAAAAAAGTATTTAGTCAGCCACCAATTGTGCAAGTTCTCCCACTTAAAAAGATGAGAGAGGCCTTTAATTTGCATCATAGGTACACGTCAACTATCACAGACAAATTGAGAAAAAAAAATCCAGAAAATCACATTGTAGGATTTTTAATGAATTTATTTGCAAATTATGGTGGAAAATAAGTATTTGGTCAATAACAAAAGTTTCTCAATAGTTTGTTATATACCCTTTGTTGGCAATGACACAGGTCAAACGTTTTCTGTAAGTCTTCACAAGGTTTTCACACACTGTTGCTGGTATTTTGGCCCATTCCTCCATGCAGATCTCCTCTAGAGCAGTGATGTTTTGGGGCTGTCGCTGGGCAACACGGACTTTCAACTCCCTCCAAAGATTTTCTATAGGGTTGAGATCTGGATACTGGCTAGGCCACTCCAGGACCTTGAAATGCTTCTTACGAAGCCACTCCTTCGTTGCCCGGGCGGTGTGTTTGGGATCATTGTCATGCTGAAAGACCCAGCCACGTTTCATCTTCAATGCCCTTGCTGATGGAAGGAGGTTTTCACTCAAAATCTCACGATACATGGCCCCATTCATTCTTTCCTTTACACGGATCAGTCGTCCTGGTCCCTTTGCAGAAAAACAGCCCCAAAGCATGATGTTTCCACCACCATGCTTCACAGTAGGTATGGTGTTCTTTGGATGCAACTCAGCATTCTTTGTCCTCCAAACACGACGAGTTGAGTTTTTACCAAAAAGTTATATTTTGGTTTCATCTGACCATATGACATTCTCCCAATCCTCTTCTGGATCATCCAAATGCACTCTAGCAAACTTCAGACGGGCCTGGACATGTACTGGCTTAAGCAGGGGGACACGTCTTGCACTGCAGGATTTGAGTCCCTGGCGGCGTAGTGTGTTACTGATGGTAGGCTTTGTTACTTTGGTCCCAGCTCTCTGCAGGTCATTCACTAGGTCCCCCCGTGTGGTTCTGGGATTTTTGCTCACCGTTCTTGTGATCAATTTGACCCCACGGGGTGAGATCTTGCGTGGAGCCCCAGATTGAGGGAGATTATCAGTGGTCTTGTATGTCTTCCATTTCCTAATAATTGCTCCCACAGTTGATTTCTTCAAACCAAGCTGCTTACCTATTGCAGATTCAGTCTTCCCAGCCTGGTGCAGGTCTACAATTTTGTTTCTGGTGTCCTTTGACAGCTCTTTGGTCTTGGCCATAGTGGAGTTTGGAGTGTGACTGTTTGAGGTTGTGGACAGGTGTCTTTTATACTGATAACAAGTTCAAACAGGTGCCATTAATACAGGTAACGAGTGGAGGACAGAGGAGCCTCTTAAAGAAGAAGTTACAGGTCTGTGAGAGCCAGAAATCTTGCTTGTTTGTAGGTGACCAAAAACTTATTTTCCACCATAATTTGCAAATAAATTCATAAAAAATCCTACAATGTGATTTTCTGGAGAAAAACAATCTCAATTTGTCTGTCATAGTTGACGTGTACCTATGATGAAAATTACAGGCCTCTCTCATCTTTTTAAGTGGGAGAACTTGCACAATTGGTGGCTGACTAAATACTTTTTTCCCCCACTGTAGATTGCTGAGGAAAAAAATGAATTGCATCAACTTTAGAATAAAGCTGTAACGTAACAAAATTTGGAAAAAGTCAAGGGGTCTGAATACTTTCCGATGGCAGTAAAGACTATGAATTTGACCAGTTGATCTCGCAGTTAAAAACAGCATAACTGTGCCACCTCTAAAAAGCCCTTGCA